AGAAACGACGGATGTTCAGCAACCCATCATCCATACGGTGCTCCACACGAACACCGAAAGCACAAACCGCATCAAACGCACAAGACATCATGACATGAAGATATATATTAAACAGGGCAGGAGCTAAGACACAGCCTTGATTCACACCAGAGACAACTGCAAAGTCATCCGAGGTCTGTCCCCTCAGCTGCACCCTCAGTCGCATACCACTATGCAAAGATTCAATGGAACTTACAAACTAACTCGGACAACCAAACTTACCCAACACCAGTCACAATGTCTAGCGGTTTACCGTATCAATAAGCAATAAGCGTCCGTTGACGATTAACAGTACATCCTTCTTTAGGAAGAACTTATGCAGCTCACTTGTCAGTTTATCCTTGGGCCACTGTGTAGTGTGGTATTTGATCGCTTGTTGAAGGACTGGATCTCGGGTTAATGCATTACGCACCATTTCGCAAGTAACCGGAAGCTTTCTGAGACTCTCCAACAGCACTTGATTCACTTCAGACTCCAATAAAATCGCTGCGATGATTGATTCTTCTCTCCGGGGCTGTTGATTTTCCGACAGTCGGGAAAGCGCGTCAGCTTGGCCCATGTTCTTTGTAAAGATTTGCTTCACCTCAAAGTCATAACCGAGCAATGTGGCGACCCAACGTTGCCGCCTGTTCACCGTGTAAACGGAAATGCCTGACTCTGATCCGAAAATTGCCAGTAATAACTTATGATCAGTAGGAAACATGAACTTCCTCTCATAAAGCATCTGGTGAAATTTCTTTACTGCGAAAACTATCGCCAAGACCTCTTTCACTATTTGACCATAATTTCATTCTGCGGGAGACAATGATCTGGGTGTGTGTACCATTGTTTTTTCTAAGCCGTCTGCGAACTTGTAGGCTATGACCGCACCAATGCCATAGTTCGAGGCATCTGCGGCCACCACAATCTCCAAGGTAGGGTCGTAATGCGTCAGTATAAGATCGGGACATAGAAGTCTTTTCACCTGCTCAAGTGATCTCTGACATTCTTCGGACCAGTTCCAGGGTTTATCCTTGGTCAGCAACTCATTCAGTGGGCCACGTAAGCGATGCATACGCAGCAGGAAGGGGGTGTAATGGATTATGAGTTCTAGGAAGGACCTTAGTGTTGCGACATCTTGGGGATGCAGCATAATCTAGATAGCTTCGATGTTCACTGGATCTGGACGTCAGCCATTCCTATCGATTATAAAACCGAGAAACGTAATTGAGTAATAAAGTAGATACACTCCTCCGGTCGGAGTCTGAATCCATACTCTTCAATACGGCCAAGGACTCAATCCAACTTTTCGAACAGGTCATCAGCATTGCCTCCGACAACAATGAGGTCATCCAGGTATGCAGCTGCGCCATCGACTTCCGTCAGCATGGTCTCCATGATCTGTTGGAATATGGCCGGTGAGACTTGACTCCAAACGGAAGACGGTGGTACTGATACGAGCCTCGGTACGTATTGATGATGAGTAATTCTCGTGAAGCTTCACGTACATCGATCCGCAGGTATGCGTCGGAAAAATCCGGTTTTGCGAAACATTTACCCCATTCAGTTTTGCAAACAAATCATCCGGAAACGGTAAGGGGTATTGATGAGCGTACGGTGCAGCATTTAGACCCGTTGAGAAATCGACACATATTCAAATTTGACCGTTTGGCTTTCTGACGACCACAATAAGTGCTGCCCAGGATGAGTAGTTCACCGGGTGGATAACTCCTGTTCTCTCTCTAAACGATCCAGCTCCTGGTCAACCATCGGTGTTGCCGCGTAAGGGAGTCACGTACGAAACACTGGAACAGCATTGGGTTTAAGGGATAATGAAGCTTGTACTTTAGTGCACTTACGGAGGTCTTCCCGAAAGATTGCTGCATCCTTCTCTCGCACATGCTCGATGGCCACTGTTTTGGGGGCTGCTGGTTTGTGTATTTGTGCAGTTGCACAATGCTGGTTTATCGGAACATCAAGCAGATTGAAACGCTCAATCCAGTCTAGACTTAGGAGATTAAAATTTTGATGGCTCGTGACGAAAAGCGATCCCCATGCGGTAAATTCGGCATAGCGACACTCACATTCAACTTGACCAAGCAATTTTAACTCTGTACCTGATGCAGTCTTCGCCTGCTGACTGGTAGATTTAATATCGAGGAACTCGACAATCCTCCACAGCCTTTTTGATATGACCGTGAGGTCTGAGGCGGTATTAATCTGCAAGCGCGCCTGTCTTCCATTGACGCTGATGGTGATGTACTTTCTTCTATCACAGACATAATCAGTAAAATTGGCGTTCACTCTCTTTGCAAAATGGCCGTAGGTCTTCTTTCGATTATCGTGAACTGGTCGGAAAGGTGGTTTGGCTCTGCAATCGGTTTCTTTGTGCTCGTGTCTACGGCATTTCTGGAAGGAATACTTGTTGAATGGACACCATCTAACGAAAGGCCAGTCACCGCATTGTCAACAGGTTGCTGGTGGCTTACCATGTGGGAGCTTCTTGTGACCAGTGGTTGGAAAGCTGCTGGACTGCGAAACCATTGGAATGTGTCTTTGTGTCCTCGAGTGTATCTATATCGTGTTGCGAATTAATGATTCTCTGAGTCTCTGCAACGACAGCTTGTAATGTGACGTCCGGGTCTCGCTCTAGAATCCCCAATATTCTGGTCCGTATCTCGGCATCCTTAGAAGATCGCAGGCTGCACAACAAAATCAAACAATCAAATTAAGCTTCAGTAAGTGATTTCAGCTTGAATTTTGATACTCGCTTCACTGTTGCACCATGGATAATGAGACTGTCGCTGTCCCTTTTGCACAGCTGCAGACAATTGTACCGATTGTTGAAAAGCAATGCCTGATAGCCGAACATTTCCGAAAGTCGGGAAACTGTTTCCTCAAAACGGAAATCTTGAGCGGTCTTGGGCAAAATGTAATTGGCGTATCTGTCGTGCTTCACAGTTCCGAGTTTACGCAACAATAGTCACACTTTTGATGTATTTTCAAGATTTGCCAGTTCCGTCTTGAAAATATCTTCATAACATCTGAACCATGCATCGAAAATCAGTCCTGAAGCGGGATCAAAAACGAACTCATTGACATCGTTTACTATCGCATCGACTGAAGGCTCCTCACCATTGTGGAGGACTGTAGGCTGGAGCGATAGTGTTCGAATGAAAGTCTTGACAATACGCAGCTGTGTCGCCTCAAATTGCTGCTGCTATTGAAGCAAAATAGCTTTCAGCTCTTCTGCTGAGATAGTCATCTTGAATCAATTTACCTCCCATCGTCAGAAATGTGTTGTGGTTTCCACTGATAGTACGGATAACCTGCCTAAAATCTGCTGTGCAGCTCGCAACCACTTCAATCAGGTAAGGAAATGAGAACAACAAGAAAACGGCCGGGCCGAGGGATTCTATTGTATGAAAGCATGGTGCAATGAATAGGTTGTAGGAAACCACTAACACAACAAAATTGGAGATGCTAATTAATATTCACTAACACAAATCAAACGGTTCAAGTTCATGGTCCAACTTGCCGCTGATTCCACATCGATTCGCATTTTGATCTGTACCCGAGTACAATCCCTAATTGCAGATCGATCAGCTGTTGCGCCACTGTTCTGGGTCTAAGCGCTGAGTGAAAGCTATCTTCCTGTAACAGATACCCTGACCCATTGAGTTATAATCGCCAGAGACGGGAAGAGTACAATCATTGTCGTCGGATTCAGAATCAGGGAGTCGGAGATTTGTCACAACACTGTTATCTTGTGTGCGTGTTTTGGAGACACAGCACATATCAATAACAAGAGAGTAAAGAGTAGGAGGAGTTAGTGCTGCCTGTTGGCGAACGTTGAAAGGGTGTTGTGAAATGATACTCTATGTTTGATGGAAAAGCTATGTGTATGGAGGGCAGCAACTACGAGGCCAGTGGCATTCTCGTGCTTGATGGACGGGAAAGAAGTTGAGGTATAAGAGAAAAAGAAAATTAAGTGGAGGGAGTATTGTCGACGTGGTTGAGAGAGCAGATGATCCTCTCCGGCTGCTCATTCAGAAAGGCGCTTGGTTCGAGGTGCCATAGGTCTTGTCTTTGACTCAACAATTCACCGTGATGTTATTTAGCTGCGGAATGCGAATTAAGTCACAACTAAGAATGTTAGAATTTAAGCGCTTCTTCGAAGCTAGAAGAGTGAGCGCTAGGCGTGCGCGCGCGCTAGAGCATGGTCGAACTGGTGTGCGCTAATGGTAATATGAGCAATTTGGGTCAAGGTCAAACAATCAGAATTATGCCAGAACCTTTGTTTAGGCTAGAGATGATCAATTTTGTTTAGCTTCTGCTTTCTAAGTGACCGCATTTACTCTTTTTCAAGAATAAAATTACCCGCTGGTCAGGCTCTAATTTTGTGACGATATATAACGCATAAGCTAGACATCATGTTCACAACATCCGCAGACGAAGTTGCGACAGACCTCACTGTCGTGTTGTTCAGCTCTCCAACTGAACCTCAAGCATAATCTGGTCCAGATTTTTAAACAGAATGAAGAAGCTAGGATCTACTGATGAAACATTTAACTGGATTGGATTGAGCACGATGCTGGAAAGCCTGATTCATGAGATAACTGGAATTTTCTGATGACTTAATCATCCAGCGCGACACACACAAAGTGGAAGTAAGTTAGTCGTATGGCTGATTACGGGTGTCACGCTGTCGCAGCCCGTGCTAAACTAGGTCCAGGATACATAAGAGCTAGAGTGGGGTGATGAAACGATGATGACTCAGTCATTCAGCTATCGTCTTACTTGGGACCACGTGGATCCTGGATAGTTTTGCAAAACAGCGATTCTACTATCGAATTTTAAACTAGAGTCTGATGAAGCATGAAGTGCCTGGGTCGAGCGAGAGTTGTCCAAACAAAACACAAACCAGAAAGAGAAAGAATATGAGAGTGATTACCGCAGATAGCATCGTGGTACATGCTTACCTGTTCTATGTGCCGCCTTCGATGAAGATCTTGCATACGACAAGATTGCGCACGCTTACGATCGGCAGCCGCATTCAACTCGTTCATGACGGACTGGGAAATAGAATGCATGCTAGATTTTAGTGATCGCACAGCCAACGGTATTCAGTCTAATACAAAATGCATGCAGAAAGATAGAAGCATGTTAATCGCTTAAATAAAAAAAGAGTTGATCATCGTAAAGCCGTGTTGAAAAAATTTTGACGATAACACCAGATAAAAGAAGTATAGGAAAAGAGGAGCAATACCAGTTCCCATTCGATCTGCTTTTCACATAAAATTCGGTGCATCAACTCAGTTAAAAACACCTGGCTTTTCAGTTCAATGCAGTCGAAAAACTACGGCAATATTGTTATCAATCCGGCCCCTAAGATCGAACCTGGCCCCTAAGATCGGCGGACATGAAGAGGCTACTTACGTTCGACCATCGGTACCTTCGCAGTTTGGCTCACATTTGGTGGGAACACCGCGTGAGTAACGAGCGTGTTCAACGCTTTGTTTACGGCCCAGGAAAAGGGAATGAACCGCTCAGCACCGTCATTTCCCGCACCAGGCTCCGATGGCTCGGCCACGTGTTGCGCATGCCAGCCCACCGACTCCCTCGACGTGCGTTGTTTGCTCACCGGGGATGTGGGTGGAAGAGAAGAGGTGGCCAAGCGATGACTTGGTCCAGGAGAATGAAGGTCCTCACTTCGGAGCTAGCCTCGGTTGGAGCGTCACGGCTCCCTGGTTGGGGTCCAAAAGACGATGAACACGTTTGGCTGGATACACCTGCTGACATGGCAAGGAGCCGACGTCAGTGGCGTTCCTGCTGTGAGTTTCTTTGTCCCTCCCCATCCTTTTTAGCCTCCCCCTCCATCTGTGATCTTATTTCGCAGGGTAAAACATAATTAACTATTTGTTTTTGCCTAGTAGCTGGCTGGTAGCTTACCGGAAGGATGCCTATCCGTTGCTGGTAGCTCAGCTGGCTTGCAACTGTTGTATCTATTTTTCCTTTATGTATTGTATGTATGTATGTATTTCCTCTATGTATTGCGGTAGAATAGCGGAGGTGTTTTACCACCTCTAGCTGACATGTATAATGATGATGATGTCCCGAATAGGTGTGCCGTTGCAATAAATATTAAAAAAACAGTGGGATTAGGAGAGAAATGTGATTAAAAACACCACAAAAATAAGTGAGAGAGAAGTGACATTTATCGAATTAAAAGGCAAGTGGATAGACGTAAGAGGAAGTTACCGGGCAACTCAAGCGTTTTAAGGATGGTTGTTGCTATTGACTATTCATCCATATTTCATCACCGAGGACGCAGCAGCGGAAAACAACACACACCGAGGTGTGGAGTGAACAGTGCGCACCATAGCCATGGCTTAGTCGAATAAGGCGATACGAATTAATTGCACATTCCAATAGGACCTTAGTGGGTTTGTAACTAGACTGGATGACTTCAGTAATACACATCCATGTTCGCGTCAGATATGGGCAGCAGTACAGTGCCAAAAAACGGATAGGTATTCCTATTAGTGCAATGTGAAGTGACCGCACAGCAGCGCATACGACCCCCCAATACTACTCTTTCCCCAAAGACAAGAGCAGTAACCGCTGTGACTTGAGCACCAGAGGCTATACCACCACTAAGATGAATGAATCGGGCAATCACATTCGATTAGAGGTTCAGTAACAATTAGAACGTGTACCATGCTGACCCAGTCTTGCAACACTACCATTACCCTTTCGTGATGCAAAGTGTGTGTCGAAGACTGTAACCCTCCATTCAGTTGAGCTTGTATGAAATAAGCGGGAGCCAAGAAGACCTGTATCGTCCAAGTGCTCTTAATTTGCCAATCGGTCGTCTGGGAAAATGTCCATTACATAAAAGTCGGAAAGAACAGAATCATCTACGATCATTTCGATCACAGAGGTCAAGCAGATCAGAGATAGGGAATAGTAAAACTGTAAAATCATTTACAAGCACACTGTTGATACAACAGCTGTATGGTTGAGAACAACCCTTAATATACTGTGACGATAGACACTGATCTTTCGTGGATCGAATTACGCGAGCACCAGTGAGCCACCAAAGGATGATGTAGGTGGCAGTTTGGAGACTCCAGCGAGACCCTCGGTTATTCGTTTGGAAAGCAGTGATTTTGGTAGATAAGCGGTGATCTGTGAGAAACACTTCTGCGCCCTCATAATGCAAACTGGAGAAGTTAACTCAACAGCTAAGAGCGTGCTCAGTCCGTTAGCAGCAATGGTGGGAAGGTAACTGGACAAAGTGCCCTGTTCTGTCGCAACAGAGCGAGTTCACGCTGGATTTCCTTGAAGGTAGTATGCATGTAGCCAATATCTAAACCTGATTCCAGTGGTTCACCGAAAGATGGTGACACATCACGCAGTTGAGTGTCTATCCGTGGGCGTAGTTGTGGATAGATCAACTGTCCATTATCGCTTGGTACAGTCACCCATACTGAAGAAGTTCTTGGACTATCGCAGGAAATGAGACAGGAGTCATCGTCATCATTATACATGTTAGCTGAAGGTGGGAAACACTTCAGCTATTGTGCCGCAATTAAAAAGGAAAAAACATGCATCAGAGGCACGCCAGATAAGTCACCGGAAACGGAGGACATGGTGTCACAAAAGTTATATTGTGGGTCAGAAATGAAATCGTGGTTGGAGGAGGCCACGTGGGAAAGGGAGAGAAAGATAAACTCACACCACAAACGCCACTGAAGTCGGCTCCTAGCCATGTCAATAAGTGTATCTGACCTAACGCGTTCATCGTCTTTCATGCCCCAACCAGGGAACCGAGATGCGCCAACCGAGGACAAATGCGAACTAAGGGTCTTCATTTCTCTTGAACATGTCGTCCATTGGCATCCAAGCACATCCCGGACACGCAAACAACGCAAGTCGCGGGAGTCGGTGTACTGACACACGCAACATGTGGTCCAGCCATGGGAGCCCGGTTTTTGAAGTAACGGTACTTAGCGATTCCATTCCTGTGCTATAAGCGAGGCGCTGAACACGTTCATTGTTCACGCGGTGTTCCCACCAGATATGAGCCAAACTGTGAGGAAACCGGTGGTCGAACGTAACTATTTACGTCGGCCGGTGGCCGAGTGGTCTGCGCGTTTGGTTTGCAACCATAAGGTCCCCGGTTCGAATCCGCGTAGAGATGGGCGTCCTCGCGGTATACTCAGCCCGCGCGCGACGTGGTGGTCGCGCGGCAGCGAAGCGTTGTTACGGTGTACAGCTGACACATTATTATTTAATATTTATGTAACCTATTTACGTCTCCCGATCTAATGGGCAAGATTTCATAATCGTACAATAGGGTCAACGTACGGCTGCACTGTACACCCCACCCTACAGGGAAAGAGTGATGTCGCGTTGGCGCCACAGGAGGCGAAGATGGCAAAGGTTAGCAAAAGCGCCTCGAGCTTTTGCTATACGGTTCGTCACCTCATCTTCGATTCAACAGGCGCTGACACAACTACCTAGATAGTTGAATTACTAAAGGACTTCTAGCTGATTCCCAACAAGGCTCAGCGCAGGAAGTGACCATTGTCAATCTTGGAGGAGAGATCTACACACTGAATGTGCGAAGCGAAGTCCGAAACGGCTGAGAGCCAGTGCTGCTTGCCGATGGAGATCGGACTGTTTCTTGCATTTGGAATGTGAGCTTTCCTTGAAGATCGGGACAATAACGGAACGGATCCAGTCGGTTGGGACAGTTTCCTGCGCTTTTCAAAGTGTGCAGTGAAGTGTGTTGATTATGGATAGACAGTCCACTTTCGTCACATAGTTTCAGTAACACAAGATCTACTGTCCGCTTCCCGTACTAGGCGGAATACCTCCCAATGGCTGCCGAGGTCAAAGGGCACTTCCATCTTTGAAGCATGACAAGATCACCAGGCTTTGTGGTCCCTCTTCAGGACAGTCCACAGTCTTGCCCTGAGACTTTTGCGAGTATCGGTGTGTTCGCTCACAGCCGGAATAAGTCAGCGAGTATCCAAAAATTCCACAAAGGGCGTAGAGACCTAATGTCCAGGTTGGTGATCAGATTCAGTTATGGTGCTAGCTGAAGTTGCTGAGGCAAGAATGTGGGGTTCGATCCGCTGAGAATTGGCATCAACGATCAATAAAATCAGTTGACCCTCGAAAGCACCGAAAAATTCTACCTGTACGCACTTCCAGGCTGCAATGGCGCATGGAGGCGACGTTTCGGTTCTTTTGACAAAGTTTGCAACCTCCAATGTCACCGTCTAATTCGGGCTACCACACATAAAAGCGAGCTAGCGACTTCATTTTGGCAACTCCTGGGTGCGCATCATGTAGTTCATCGAGGATACGTAAGCGAAATCTTTTGGGAACTATAACTCGGGCACCCCAGAATAAACATCCGTTCTGGACACTGAGATCAGCCATCTGATTACGGAAAGGTATGAGTTCCTTGGATGTGTTATTTGGTCACCCGACTTCAGCGTGTCACGTTTCACCAGCGCTAAAACAGGATCTCTATCAGCTTACTGAAGTAGGTCCGTTGACGTGACCGAGGATTCATTGAAATACTGAACCAGGTTTACGAGCTCTTGTGGAGTAAACTCTCCCGAAGATACCTCTGGTAAAGAAAGTCGACTAAGGACATAAGCTGTGGTATTCTGATGGCCGGGAACGCAATGAATTTCGTATGTATATGCAGATGGAATGAGGGATCAAGGAACCATCATCATCATTATACACGTCAATTAGAGGTGGGAAATACCTCAGCTACTGTGCCGCAATACATAGAAGAAAAAAGGAGAAAAAATACAACAGGTGCAAGCCAACTGAGCTACAGGTAACGGATGGGCATCGCTCCGGTAAGCTACCAGCCGGCTACTATGCAGCAAAAAACTTACTATGCAAAATTATATAAGGTTAAATAGTGTGATCGTGATTGGAGGGTGAGGCTAAGAGGAATGGGGTGGGACAAAGAAACTCAGAGCACGGACGCCACTGAGGTCGGCTTCTAGCCATATCAGCAAGTGTACCCAGCCAAACGTGT